CTCCACTGGCTTTTTTTTTTTTTTTTTTTTTGATATGGAGTCTCACTCTGTCACCCAAGCTGGCAGGCTAGAATGCAGTGGCGAAATCTCGGCTCACTGCAACCTCTGCCTCCCGGGTTAAAGTGATTCTCCTGCCTCAGCCTCCTGAGTAGCTGGGACTACAGGCACATGCCACTACACCAGCTAATTTTTGTATTTTTAGTAGAGATAGCATTTCACTATATTGGCCAGGCTGTTCTCGAGCTCCTGAGCTTGTGATCTGCCTGCCTCAGCCTCCCAAAGTGCTGAGATTACAGACATGAGCCACTGTGCCCAGATGGGCTGGCTGTTATTTATTTATTTATTCATTCATTCATTTATTTAGAGACAGTTGTGCTCTTGTTGCCCAGGCTAGAGTGCAATGGCACAATCTTGGCTCACCACAACCTCCGCCTCCCAGGTTCAGGCAATTCTTCTGCCTCAGCCTCCTGGGTAGCTGGTATTACAGGTGCCCGCCACCATGCCTGGCTAATTTCATCTTTTTAGTAAAGACGGGTTTCTGCATGTTGGTCAGGTGGTTGGTCTTGAACTCTCAACCTCAGGTGATCTGCCCGCCTCAGCCTCCCAAAGTGCTGGGATTATAGGCGTGAGCCACTGCACCTGGCCTGTTATTTATTTTTTTTTAAAGAGACCGAGTCTTGCTCTGCTGCCCAAGTTGGAATGTAGTGGCACGATCATAGCTCACTGCAACCTTGAATCCTGGGCTCAGAGCAGTCCTCCTCCCTCAGCCAAAGTGCTGGGATTACAAGGTGTGAGCCGCCGCACCAGGCCTGCTTTTACTATTACACATCCACTGCTGTCCCCATTACTCCTCCACTTTGGCCTATGGGTAGGCCTGTAAACCAGGGCTCCACCCTCTGACTGGTTATAGGTGGTTAGATTACCCTTGGCCACCCAGGAGCCAGTGGGTTCTTGGTTCCGGAGAAGCTGGTTGACCACAAGGGAGTTGTAGGTTACTGGAGCCTGCACCATGGGTGCCCTTTGGAAGGTTTTTCTCTGACCTGTCCCTGGAGGACTCATTAGGCCCCAGCCAGAAGAGTTGTCACTTCCCTTCCAGCCACCCACTGTGTGAGGGACAAATCACATGCTAGTTTTGTGTCATATCTTAGTAAGATGTGGGAGGCACTGGCTTGAGTAATCTCTTTATAAGCAAAGCCCCATCTCACAGTGCTCACAGGACCACTGTAATAGGAACGTGGATGGTTTGTTCCTCCATTTTTTGGAACTCGGGGATGGGGGGATGTGTCTGTTGTCAGGGAGGTGCCATTTTAAGTTGACAGGGCCTGATGTTAGTGAAAGCGAACTGGGATAGCAGCAGCCATTTAAAGTAATGATGGTAAGACACAGGGGTGATAGTGGTTTGGTTTATATTTATGACCTTTTAAAAATGTTTGGCATTTTAAGGAGAGGATTTTTTTTGGTTTTTGTTGTTTTTTTTCTTGAGGCTCATGTTGCGTAGACTGGTGTGCAATGGCGTGGTTCTCAGCTCACTGCAGTCTCCATCTCCTGGGTTCAAGGGATTCTCCTGTCTCAGCCTTCCAAGTAGCTGGGATTACAGACACATGCCACCATGCCCAGCTAATTTTTATATTTTTAGTAGAGTGGGTATTTCACCATGTTGTTGGCCAAGCTGGTCTCAAACTCCTGACCTCAGGTGATCTGCCCACCTCGGCCTCCCAAAGTGCTGGGATTACAGGCATGAGTGACCACACCTGGCCAGGACAGTTTTTTTTCCCTGATAACAGAAGTGATACTTTCTCACTTTAGAAAATGTGAAAAGTTCAGCTACATAAGGAAGTCAAACAAAAGGTCTCCTATATATGAAGAAAAAAAGAAGCAAGTAAAGTCTCCTTTTGTTTCCCTACTCAAAGACAGCTGTTAATATTTTATTGATTTCTATGGCGTTGCCCTGCTTTACATAATAGAAACAGTGCTGTAGTGAATATCTTCACATCAGAATTCTTCTGTAATCTTCTTAAGTTAGAGTCTCAATTATTGGATCAAAGGAAGTGGACATTTTTAAACCTCTTGATATATATATTACCAAATTGGTTTTTTCCCCCTTTTTTTTAATAAACAGAGATTGGGGTTTTCTCTGTGTTGCCCAGGCCGGTCTTGACCTCCTGGCCTCAAGCGATCCTCTTGCCTCAACCTCCTGAGTAGTTAAGATTACAAGTGTGAGCCACCATGCTCAGCCACTGATTTTAACTTGCATGTTTTAAACAAAATTTATCGTAGAACATTTCCTTAATATGTTTGCGTCAGGATTTGACTCTCTCATGTCTCTGGAGAGGCTTTCTAACAAAGCGTCTCCCGTAGGTGGCCGTCTGCACTATGAAAAGGTCATTTCTAGTTCCAGGTCATGCCCACTGTGTCAGCTGCTGGGGTGTAGAGTTTCAGACCCAGGCCGCTTGGAAAGTGCCCAAAAGAGAAACAGCTTAGAAAATAGGACTTGAACAGCGGTGTGGGTTGAGTCTGGAAAATTTAGACCATGTTGGTGGAATCAGAGCTGGGAAGAGGTTGTAAAAGTTATCTCCTCTCACTGGTTTCCAGTCCATGCTTCTCAGAACTCTCCCATTATGCAGACGGGCTCTGTGGCTCACATCTGTAATCCCAGCACTTTGGGAGGCCAAGATGGGCGGATCACTTGAGGCCAGGAGTTCAAGATCAGCGTGGCCAACATAGCGAAACCTCGTCTCTACTAAAAATTTAAAAAATTAGTCAGCTATGGTGTGGTGCGAACTTGTAGTTCCAGCTACTTGGGAGGCTGAGGCATGAGAATCACTTGAGCCTGGGAGGCGGAGGTTGCAGTGAGCCAAGATTGTGCCACTGCACCCCAGCCTGGTGACAGAGCAAGACTCTGTCTCAAAGAAAAGAACTCTTCTATTTTACAAAGGAGCTTCATGATCCTTTTGAAGAAAAATAGGAATGGGGCCACCTCTGTGTCAAAAACAGCATCCCACATTTCTCTCTCTCTCTTTTTTTTTTTTTTTTTTTTTTTTGAGACAGTCTCACTCTGTCGCCCAGGTTGGAGTGCAGTGGCATAATCTTGGCTCACTGCAACCTCCACCTCCCAGGTTCAAGTGATTCTCCTTCCTCAGCCTCCCAAGTAGCTGAAATTATAGGCACCCACCATCATGCCTGGCTAATTTTTGTATTTTTTTAGTAGAGATGGGGTTTTGCCATGTTGGCCAGGCTGGTCTCAAACTCCTGACCTCAGGTTATCCTCCCACTTTGGCCTCCCAAAGTGCTGGGATTATAGGTGTGAGCCACTGTGCCCGGCCACATCCCACATTTCTATGTTTCAGTTTTAGATTAGTTTTTTTGGTTTTTTTTTTTTTTTAAAGAGATGGGGTCTTGCTATGTTGCCCAGGCTGGTCTCAAACTCCTGGCCTCAAGTGATCCTCCCACCCTTGGCCTCCCAAAGTGCTGAGATTACAGGTGTGAACCGCTACTCTCAGCCTATTTTACATGTTGATGGACAGCATATGATCACATGTATGAGGGTTTCTACTTGTAAAAGGGTGGAAACTTATTCTCACTGCCTGAATCATAGGGCCTAGAGAGGGAGACGTAACTGCCCTGTGGCTTTCTTTTCTTTCTTTCTTTTTTTAATTTTTTTTGAGACAGAGTTTTGCTCTTGTCGCCCAGGCTGGAGTGCAGTGGTGTCGTCTCGGCTCACCGAAACCTCTGCCTCCTGGGTTTAAGCGAGTCTCCTGCCTTGGCCTCCCGAGTAGCTGGGATTACAGGCATGCACCACCACGCCCTGCTGAGTTTTGTATTTTTAGTAGAGATGGGGTTTCACCATATTGGCCAGGATGGCCTCAATCTCCTGACCTCGTGATCTACCCCCCTTGGCCTCCCAAAGTGCTGAGATGACAGGCATGAGCCACCATGCCCAGCCAGAATACCTGTTTAAAATCTGCAGTTAAGACCATCTTCCCAGAGGCCACAAAACGCAGCGAATCCGAGTGTGTGGCTCACCTGCCCCGGGGCTCGCAGTTGGGCAGGATGATTTCCACTCAGATTCTTGTGCCAGCAGCGCAGATCTTGTTCTAAAGCTTTTCTAAATCCCTTGAGACTAGAAAGGCTTTTGGATAATTTTCCCTTTGTCTTTTGGATGAAAACACGTCTCCTGTAGAACAGCAGCATTCCGTGGTGCCTCAGCCACTGTCCTGTGGACGGGAATTTGCAACAAAATCTGACGAGAGAATGCAAGGGAAAAGCAAGATTGGGTTTTCCTGGTCTAAGTTGTTGATAATTAAAAAAAAAAAAATTTGATCATTAAAAAGTGATGTGAGTATTATAGAACATTTGCAAGTACAGAAACAGGTAAAGAAAAAATAGGTCGGGCGCAGTGGCTTACGCCTGTAATCCCAGCACTTTGAGAGGCCAAGGTGGGCGGATCACTCGAGGTCAGGAGTTCGAGACCAGCCTGGCCAATGTGGTGATACCCTGTCTCTACTAAAAATACAAAAATTAGCCGTGTGTGGTGGTGCGTGCCTATAGTCCCAGCTACTTGGGAGGCTGAGGTGGGAGAATTGCTTGAACCTGGGAGGCAGAGGTTGCAGTGAGCTGAAGTTGTGCCGCTGTTCTCCTGCCTGGGCAACAGAGCAAGACTCCATCTCAAAAATAAAAAAAAAAAAAATACCCCATAATTCTTTAATTCTAGTGACGTTTTAGTGTTGTTCTTTCTAGACTGTTAATTTTTAATTATTTATTTTTATGAGACTGGTCTCTTTCTGTTACCCATGCTGGAATGCAGTGGTGTAGTCACAGCTCACTGCAGCCTCAACCTCCAGGGTTCAAGCAATCCTCCCACCTCAGCCTCCTGAGTAGCTGATACTACAGGCACGCACCACCACACATGGCTAATTTTTGTGTTTTTTTTTGTAAAGATCAGGTTTTGTCGTATTGGCCAGGCCAGTCTTCCTGGGCTCAAGCGATCCGCCCGCCTTGGCCTCCCAAAGTGCTGGGATTACAAGCATGAGCCACTGCACCCAGCCCTTTCTTTGATTTTTTAAGACTGATTTGTATTCCATCATTAGAATGTTCCATAATTGGTGTAAGAATTCCCTTATTGTAAAGTGTTTAGGCTGCCTCCAAATTGAGGCTTTTTCCCATGGCCAATTATAATACTAATAATTTTCATAATGAAGAACACCCTAAATCACCCACATCATTAGGAGCTGAAGCAAATTAGGTTTTTGAACTTCAGCTAAGTGATGGCTGAGCTGAGGCTGCTGCAGAGCCTGCTGCACCGGCATGCCACTGTGTTGTGCGTAATTGCTGGGTTCAAGGGGAACGCAGTGGGTGTTTCTGGGCAGTGACTCAAAGGCGCCTGTAGCCCCAGAGCAGAAGGCTCACCTCTCCTTTAGTGTTTCTGAGCCTCTGGGATATTGGGCACCTGAAGAGCTGCAGCCCCAGCTCTGCCCTCAGGGAGTTTCTGTTTTGCTGGGGAGAAGGCCACTGAAACCAGGGAGTGCAGCTGTGCTTGCGTAAGTGGCCTGTGCGGAGAGGGTGCACACAAGGACGGGTGGAGCCAGCCCACTCTGGCGAGGGTGTGGGTCAGAGGGCCCAGGAGAGGGGACACTGTGCTGGGTCTGGAAGGATGGGTGTGTTTGCTTGGGGGCTGGTATAGAGGGAGGATCAAATTGCTAGGAGGTGGTAAGTCTCTTGGAATGTTCTGGAACTTTCTAGAATTAGATGTGACTGGATATAAAGTATCAAAGGTGGAGGGCTTGCTGTGAGTAGGAACAGTGGCTGGTCATGGAGGGGCTTGTGTGCCTGGTCTTCCTCCTCTGGAGTCTCCAGTACCCTTCTAGGGCCTGGGCTGTGGCACCCCCTCCATTGGGGAGGCTGCATGCCTTCATGGAAGGTTTTAGCTGAAGTTCTCACCTGTATTTCCCAGGCTGTTCTGCAGAGTTGGGAGAGTTGGTTCATCCTGGTGGTGAGGACATGTTGGGACATACCCCGTGTGCTGATGATGGAGGCAGCCCTGGGTGCTGGAGAGATGATTGACACCCGGGAGTAATTGGCTTGGAAGGTAGTCCTCTGATTTGTACCTCATTGTGGTTACAGACACTTCTAATTGAAGACACTGAGCTGAGCCCTCTCACCCGCCCTCCCGAGGGCACCCCAGGTCTGATCCTTTGGGTTGGGTTGTGGGCTTTTGTTGGAGGAATTGGCAGCTCTGTGGCGGGCCTGGCACCCACAGGTGTGTTTGGAGTTGTTGCAGGCCTGACTCATCTGTGTTCTCATGCTGTGTACGCAGGGCCTCCCTTGCGGCCATTCCAACCCGAGACGGAAAGGGTGGGCAGGTGCTGGGGGTGAGGGGCCAGGAGAGGCAGGGAGGCCAAAGTGGGCTGACTTTCTGCTGTATTCCTAGTGCTGTGTGTGGGTACGTTATACACACCTGTCTGTCTTATCCCCATGAAAAACACTTAGGATACATGTTGTTAACTCCGTTTTCCCAAAGAAAGCAAGTTTGAAGAGCTTAGATACTTCTATCAAGATGATATAATAGCCAGACATGGCAGTGTGTGTCTGTAGTCTCAGCTGGTTGACAGAGTGAGACCCCTGTCTCTACAAAAAATTAAGAGATCAGTTGAGTGTGATGGCACATGCCTGTAGTCCTAGCTACTCGGGAGGCTGAGGCAGGAGGATGGCTTTAACCCAGGACGTTGTGAGGCTGCAGTGAGTGGTGATCACGCCACTACACTCTAGCCTGGGTGACGGAGCGAGACTTGGACTCTAAAAAATAAATAAAGGTCACTTTTATTAAGTAGTATATGTGTGACCTTGGTCACACATACACTACTAGGAGGCAGCACAGAGAACATACCCACATCAATCCGGCTCTAAGGCTCATTTTCTTAGTGAGGAAGGCCCAGTGTGAACTTCCCCTTGGGCTTCACTTACTGGCCCTGCTGAAAGAGGGGGAAAGGAAAGGAGAGAAGGACTGGCATCTCTCGAGCACGGTACACCCTCATTGTGACAACACACCCATGCAGGACCCTGGCCAGTTAGGGCCCCCACTGATACAATCTGGTGATTCCCATGACTGTCCCCTCAAGCACACACATCATATTTTATCCGCATTTTGCCAATAAGGAGACTGAGACCCAGATAGTTACAGTGACGTTCCCATAGTCACATGGCTCATGATAAGACTGGAACCCTGGGCTTCTGCTGTGGTCCCAGACTGCACTACCCCATCAAGGTTTCAATGAGGAGGGTAAGACCACCTGCCCTGGAAGAGGGACAGATCTGGAGCCGCCCCTGAAAAGAAGTAGGCATGGGCTCTGGCATCGGCGTGCACACACTTGCTGTATCATCTTAGATTTTTTTTGTTTTTTTAGAGGCAAGACCTCTGTCACTCAGGCTGGAGTGCCTGGGGATTATGGCTTACTGCAGCCTCCAACTCCTGGGCTAAAACCATCCTTCTGCCTCAGCCTCTCGAGTAGCTGGGATTATTAGGTGCGCCTCTGCACTTGGCTAATTTTTAAATTTTAAATTTTCTGCAGAGATGGGATCTCACTATGTTGCCCAGGCTGGCCTCAAACTCCTGGGCTCAAGCGACCCTCCTGTCCCAGCCTCCCTAAACACTGGCATGATAGGTGTGAGCCACCACACCCAGTCCCCTCGACCTCTTTCAGCCTTAGTTTCCTGTCCATAAGTGGGAGAAGTGTCACCTTGTCAGTCTGTGCAGCTTAGAAGAGACAAGTCCATTTGATGTTGGACCCTGTTCTTGCACTCCAATAGCCGGTGGCCTGGGGGGTGGCCATCATGTGGGGCATTTGCAGGCCTCTTCTCAGTCACATAGCTGCAGGTGCTGAGTGGAATCATTGTCCACATTCACTCTGTCATTCTGAAGCAGTGTATAGAACATTCTAGAACACTCACCACATGGCATGCCCCTGCTGGGTGCTGGCATTGCAGCTGTGAACAAGGCAGGCTTGGGGTTGCTCTGAACAAGGCAGGCTTGGGGTTGCTGCCACCTGGGGAGGGGCAGAAAGACTGTGGTCACAGCCATGTGTGGACGCAGTCACTAGGGTTCTGGTCGGTGCTGTGGAGGGGGCAGAGGACATGTGATGGCTCATCCTGAGTGACTCAAGCTGGGCCTGGAGGATGTGGAGTGTTCACAAGGGAAGGGGATGGGCTGGAGTGACTGGGAGGAGAAGGTCTCAGGAGGTAGGGAGCTCAGGGTGTGGGGAAGAGCTTCCTGGGCCTGGCGGCTGGTCAGCAGGAGCCAGGCAGGGGAATGGGTGCAGAGAGCCTTCGAGAGGCCAGAGAGGGGTGATTCGGTGTCCATCTAGGGCTTCCTTTGTGGTCAGTGATGCTTCCAGGGCACCCTGGAGACATGAGGAGCTGGCACCTGTGCTGCAGGTCCCAGCTCTGCCTCTGCCTCATGGGTGTCCCAAAACCCCTGCGTCTTTCCAAGACATGGTGGGTTCTCATCTTCAGCACGGGGGGTGCTAATAGGGAGGCTGAGGTGGGCGGATCACCTGAGGTCAGGAATTTGAGACCAGCCTGGCCAACATGGTGAAATCCCGTCTCTACTAAAAATACAAAAATTAGCCAGGTGTGGTGGCACGAGCCTGTAGTCCCAGCTACTCGGGAGGCTGAGGCAGGAGAATCATTTGAACCCATCCGGGAGGCGGAGGTTGTAATGAGCTGAGATTGCACTATTGCACTCCAGCCTGGGTGACCAAAGTGAAACGCTGTCTCAAAAAAAAAAAAAAAAACCACCATGCAGGATGAAATGATACACTAAGCAGTTGGGTCAGAGGGGAATTATCAGTAGCAAGAAAAACACTGGGCTGGTGACTAGCACCCAGAATTTACACTGCTCTTTGTTCCTGTGCCTGTGCAGAGGTAGGTAGGCTGCAGAATTGACTTTGAATTCTTCCTGGCTGCCAGAGCAAAGAGGCAGGATCAGGTACTTGATTCATGATGCCCTTAAGGTGTTAGGGGAGGAAAAGCAACCGTGAGACCAGGCGGGGTGGCTCACACCTGTGATCCCAGCACTTGAGAAGGTTGAGGCGAGAAGATCCCTTGAGGCTAGGAGTTTGAGACCAGCCTGGGCAACATAGACATCGTCTCTATGAAAAGTAAAAAGATCAGCTGGGTGTGATGGCAAATGCCTATTGTTTCAGCTGCTCTGGAGGCTGAGGTGTGAGGATTGTCTGAGCCCGGGGTTTGAGGCTGCCATGAGCCCCACTGCTGCAGGAAAAGCCTGTTTTCCCCTGCACTGAGGCTGCTGCAGGGCTAACTGCGTGGCTGTCCTGTTCACAGAACCGCCGGAGGCGCCGGGCAATGACCCCGGGACTCCAGGCCAGAGGGGTCTGAAGCCGTTTGGGAAAGCAGCGGGACTCCTTGGGAAGATGGCCATGGCCCCAAGCCCTTCCCTGGTGCAGGTATACACCGGCCCCGTGGCTGTGGCCGTGTGGGAATGGCAGGACGGGCTGGGCACCTGGCACCCCTACAGCGCCGCCGTCTGCAGCTTCATCGAGCAGCAGTTTGTCCAGCAGAAGGGACAGCGCTTCGGGCTTGGGAGCCTGGCCCACAGCATCCCCTTGGGCCAGGCAGACCCCTCGCTGGCTCCTTACATCATCGACCTACCCAGCTGGACCCAGTTCCGCCAGGATACTGGTAAGACGCTGTCCTGCCTCTTGCAGATACCTGGGCGCCGCACCTGCTTTCCCACAGCCTCTGTGCTAGCTGTTGGGGTGATGGATGTGACCTACAGAGCTTCTTCCCTATCTCTGCAGCACACCTAGTGGGTGGGTGCCGTGAGTGGGAACCTCTCCCACCTAGACTGAGTGCAGCTTACGGTGGGAGAGGTGCTGTGGGAGTCCCTTCCCCTTGTTTTCCAAAGCAGTGATGTCTGTCCTGACTGCAGAGGTTGCAGGGTCTCTTTGGCAGGCAGACTGGCATGGAGGTGGTACGCTGTAAGAGTTCAGAGGGCCCTGCCCCACTGCCCAATGGCTGTGTGCCCTGGGCAGGCCACTGCACCCCTCTGCATGTGTGCCTTTCTGCTTTTTGGTCTGCAATGAGTTTTGATCTTTTTTTTTCTTTCTGAGAGGTATTCTCGCTCTCACCCCTGCTGGAATGTAGTGGCATGATCTTGGCATTGCAACCCCTGCCTCCCAGGTTCAAGTGATTCTCCTGCCTCAGCCTCCCAAGTAACTGGGATTACAAACACACACCACTACACCTGGCTAATTTTTTTTTTTTTTTTTGAGACAGAGTCTTGCTCTGTCACCAGGCGCCAGGCTGGTGTGCAGTGGCGCAATCTCAGCTCGCTACAGCTTCCCGGGTTCAAGCAATTCTCCTGCCTCAGCCTCCCAAGTAGCTGGGATTGCAAGCATGCGTCACCACGCCCGGCTAATTTTGTATTTTTAGTAGAGATGGGGTTTCTCCATGTTGGCCATGTTGGTCTTGAACTCCTGACCTCAAGTGATCCTCTCACCTCGGCCTCCCGAAGTGCTGGGATTACAGGCATGAGCCACCACACCTGAACCTGCAGTGTGTTTTGATCAGTATTACTGAGGCCCCAGTTTTCTCTCGGAGCTGTCCCTTCCTCTAATCTGATGGTTGTCACTAGGGATGATTTGTCCACAGGGCCATCTGCTGACAATGTTTGGAGACATTGTTGGTTGTCACAGCTGAGTGGGTGGGAGGTGGGGGTGCTCCTGGCATCTGGTGGGTGGAGGCCAGGGAGGCTGCTTGCCGTCCTGCAGCAGGCCCTGCAACAAGGAATTACTGGCCCAGAGTATTACCAGTGCTTAGATGTGAGAAACTGGTTTTTTTGTTGTTGTTTTTTTCAATTTTAATTTTAATGAAAAATTTTTTAAAATGGATTTTTTTTCGGGGTTTTTGTTTTGTTTTGTTTTTTTGTTGAGACAGGATCTCCCTGTCTCCCTCAGCCCCTGAGCTCAAGTGATCCTCCTGCTTTGGCCTTTGAAAGTGTTGGGATTACAGGCTTAAGCCACCATGCCCAGCCCTGGAAACTCTATGTTACTCTTTGTCAGGAGTGTCGTAGAGAAAACTGTGAAACTGGCTGTCAGTCAGATCCCAAGTCCTTGCCTTCATGGTGTGTGAAGTCAACTGAGAAAGATAGCAGACAGGATAAATAATAACACGAAAATTGTATATTGTGGTGGAGAGCGGGGAGTGTTAATCGGGGAACGAAAGTGGCAGGTGTTGTAGAGGCTGATTTGAATTTAGCTGGGTGTAGGGGCATGTGCCCATAGTCCCAGCTATTTGGGAGGCTAAGGCAGGAGGATCGCTTGAGCCCAGGAGGTCAGGGTGGCAGTGAACTATGATCACATCACTGCACTGCAGCCTGGGTGACAAAGGGGGACCCTGTCTCTAAAAGTAAATAAATCAACAAATAGCAGCATGACTGTGTACCTGCTGTGTTCCTATTTGCTTATTTTGGCTGTTGAAAAAAGAATTTGAAGCCAGGCGTGGTGGCGCATGCCTGTAGTCCCAGCTACTTGGGAGGCTGAGGCATGAGAATCTCTTGAACCCAGGAGGCAGAAGTTGCAGTGAGCTGAGATTGCGCCATTGCAGTCCAGCATGGGCAACAAAAGTAAAACTGGAGCTGAGCACGGTGGCGTGTGCCTGTAGTCCCAGCTACTCGGGAGGCTGAGGTGGGAGGATCGCCTGAGTCCAGGAGTTCGGGGCTGTTGTGCGTTATGCAGATCAGGGGTCCGCACTAAATTCAGCATCAATATGGTGACCTCCCGGGAGCGGGGGACCACTAGGTTGCCTAAGGAGGGGTGAACCGGCCCAGGTTGGAAACAGAGCAGGTCAAAACTACCGTGCTGATCAGCAGTGGGATCGTGCCTGTGAGTAGCCACTGTACTCCAGCCTGGGCAACATAGCGAGACCCCATCTCTTAAAAAATAAAATAATAATAATTTAAAAAAAAATAAGAGTAAAACTCTATCTCAAAAAAGAGAAAGAAAAAAGAATTTGGCCATTCCATGTGTTCTGGGAGTGCTAGCAGACTAACCTTTTATTTTCCTTTGAAAACAGGCACCATGCGGGCGGTGCGGAGACACCTCTTCCCCCAGCACTCAGCCCCTGGCCGAGGTGTCGTCTGGGAGTGGCTGAGTGATGATGGCTCCTGGACTGCCTACGAAGCCAGCGTCTGTGACTATCTGGAGCAGCAGGTGGCCAGGGGCAACCAGCTTGTGGACTTGGCCCCCCTGGGCTACAACTACACCATCAACTACACCACCCACACGCAGACCAACAAGACTTCCAGCTTCTGCCGCAGCGTGCGGCGCCAAGCAGGGCCCCCTTACCCGGTGACCACCATCATCGCTCCGCCGGGCCACACGGGCGTTGCCTGCTCTTGCCACCAGTGCCTCAGCGGCAGCGGAACTGGCCCCGTGTCAGGCCGCTACCGCCACTCCATGACCAACCTCCCTGCATACCCCGTCCCCCAGCACCCCCCGCACCGGACCACTTTTGTGTTTGGGACGCACCAGGCCTTTGCGCCGTACAACAAACCCTCACTCTCCGGGGCCCGGTCTGCGCCCAGGCTGAACACCACCAACCCCTGGAGCGCAGCCCCTCCCTCCCTGGGGAGCCAGCCCCTCTACCGCTCCAGCCTCTCCCACCTGGGACCACAGCTCCTGCCCCCGGGATCGTCCACCTCCAGTGCAGTCAGGTACCGTGGGTAACTGCTTCCTGTCTTGTCTGCCCTGTGTTTCCACTCTTACGTAGCTGGGAAGACGCACCCCAATTCCTGCAGGTGCGGCTCCGGCCCCCTGGGTCGTCCCTGCCATGGCCTCTCATTCGCATGTGCCATGTGGGTGCCTACGTGCCGCGGCCGTCCGGAGCCTGCCTGACCTCTTGTACTGGAGTCCTGGCGGTCGCTGTGTGGGTTAGAACCTGCAGTCCTTTCACTCACGATGATAGGGTCCTCCATGTGGAACAGAGCTAAAGGCCTGTGGCCCCTGCTCGCCAGCTGCATGGTGAGCGCTGTGCCCAAGGACACCGGGTCACTGCCTGTGCACTGACTCGTGCCAGGCCATGAAGGTGCAGAGACCAGAGCACCAACCCTTACCCCTGAGCCCCAGTCTAGTGTGGGGGCTGTCAGTGCGGTATGAGGGACAGCAGAATGTGGAGCATGTGGCAGTGGCTGCAGGTGGCACGGGTGACCTGGCCCCTGTGCTGATACGACCCAGCCCAGAGTGCCTGGTAGAGCTCTCAGCTCCTTGAGAGGGCGATAATGATACCATGGGCTCAGTACAAACCAGGGCAGGTGGCGTTTAAAGTGAGGAGATTGGCCAGGCACGAGGGCTGACACCTGTAATGCCAGCAGTTTGGGAGGCCAAGGCAGGAGGATTATTTGAGCTGAAGGGTCAGAGATCAGCCTGAGCAACATAGCAAGACCCCGTCTCCACAAAAGAAACAGTTTAAAAATTAGCCAGGCATGGTGGTGCATACCTGTAATCCCAGCTACTCAGGAGGCTGAGGCCGGAGGATTGCTTGAGCCCAGGAAGTTGAGGCTGCAGTGAGCTGTGATTGTGCCACGGCACTCCAGCCCCTAGGTGACAGAGTGAGACCTTGTCATAAAAAAAAGGAAAAAAAACGCCGGGCGTGGTGGCACACGCCTGCAATGACAGCACTTTGGGAGGCCGAGGTGGGCAGATCACCTGAGCTCAGGAGTTCATGACCAGCCTGGCCAACATGGTGAAACCTTGTCTCTACTAAAAATACAAAAATTAGTCAGACATTGTGGCGGGCGCCTGTAATCCCAGCTACTTGGGAGACTGAGACAGGAGAATCACTTGAACCCAGGAGGTGGAGGTTGCAGTGAGCCAAGATCTCACCACTGCACTCCAGCCTGGACAACAAGAGAGAAACTCCATCTCAAAAGAAAAAAAGAAAAAGGAAAAAAAAAGATAAAACGAGGAACCCCCTGTTTTTGGCCAAGGTGAACGCTCTGGGCTGGCCTTGTCCTCTGACTGTCTGGCTGACTTGGGGCTTTGTCATTCATTATTGAGAGTGTTGGGCTTACAGCACATTTGAGAATTCAGAGTGGTAGCGGGGACAGGGCTTTCTGAGCGTGTCCTGGTTAGGGTGGTGAGGGAATGTGTGGGTGAGGGGCGGCCCTGGTCCCAGGAAGGAGAGCATCTTCTTTCTCTGTACTGGCCCTGGTCAGCATCCTGCTGCTGCCTCCGTGCTCACCAGTCCACCCCTGCCCACCACATCCACGTTGAGGGCTGAAACTTCCCAGGGTGGTTGAGTCCTCCTTGGCAGCTTCTCAGACCTCTAGTATTTTTTCAGACTGGGTTTTCGAGGACCCTGCCAGCTTATGTAAGACACAGTGACAGCGCCTCCGGCTCATTGGTTCGTGTCATGTGGCAGGCCCTCCTGAGCAGGCTGCGTGAGTGACTTCACTCATCCCACAATGCTCTCAGGCTGAGCAGTGTTCTTCACTTACAGGGGAGCATGTCAAGGCCCACGAGGTTGGCGACACAGCCAGCAAGTACCAGAGCTGAGATTCAGCCCAGGCCTCAAGAGGGTTGTGTGGGGCACATGGGGGCTTTTTTTTTTTTTTTTTTTTTTATAAGACGGAGTCTCACCCTTGTAGCCCAGGCTGGAGTGTAATGGTGCGATCTCGGCTTACTGCAGTCCCAACCTCCTGGGTTCAAGCAATTCTCTTGCCTCAGCCTCCCAAGTAGCTGGGATTATAGGCATGTACCACCACGCCTGGTCAATTTTTGTATTTTTAGTAGAAACAGGGTTTCTCCATGTTGGTCAGGTTGGTCTCAAACTCTCAACCTCAGGTGATCCGCCCGCTGGCCTCCCAAAGTGCTGGAATTACAGGCATGAGCCACCGAGCCCATCTGGGGGCTCCTTTAATACATTTTAATTTTATTTTATTACTATTTTTAGAGGTAGGGTTTTGCCCTGTTGCCCAGGCTGGAATACAGTGGTGCAATCATGGTGCACTGCAGGTTCGAACTCCTGTGCTCAAGTGATCCTCCTGCCTCAGCCTCCTGAGTAGCTGAGACCACAGGTGCACACTACCACACCTGGCTAATTTTTCAGTTTTATGTGGGGGCAAGGTCTTGCTGTGTTGTTCAGGCTGGTCTTGAATTCCTGGCCTCAAGCAGTCCTTTTGCCTCAGCCTTCCAAAGTGCTGAGATTACAGGCGTGAACCACCACGCCTGGACCAAAAGGCCTCTTGAGGGATGAGCTAGGAGGAGGCCAGTAGATGGGAGGGTGCTGGGCCTTGGGTGGGTCAGAGTTTTCCTGGGCAGCTTCCCACCCTGAGTATCTGGGTCAGTCTGTTTCAGAGAACAGTGTGCTCTATCTGCTGGCCCAGGAGGGTTCTTAGCGGCACTAGGACTTCTGTCAGCTCTGTTTCACCCAGCCTCCTGGAGCGTCTTAAGTTCTTAGGAATTATTTTGAGGCAAATTTCTAGATAGCGCTAGAGCTGGGATTCTGGAGTTAAGTCAAGTGACTTCATGTGGCTTTGTTCCTTTCTCTGGTAGCTGGCCCAGTTGGTCCTTCCTAAACCATTTCCGTCTCCCCCAGTGTTTCTCTGGGGTCCCCGTTCCCAGCCAGAGGGTCTGCAGAAATGCTGGTGTGGGCCAGGCAAGTTACAGGAAAGAAGGTGCCTGGGCCAGTCTTCCCTTGGTGCTGGGCTGGGCATGCTGCAGCTTGCCCCACGTTGTAAGCTAGGAGGGAACCAGGCCAGCCGGCTCTGTTAGTGGAAACAGCCTCAAAGGAGCCTGCCTCCTAGGGTAAGTGTAGGTACATCCTGATTCCTTTGGTTTTTCTGGACCTGGGAGAGGTGTAATTCACCTCCCCGGACCTATCCACGTGCTGAAAAACAGGCTTTTCTCCTGCCTAATTTGTAGTGAGGTGCTCTGCAGTTAACCCTCTTCTGATGGGTGTAGAGCCAGACGCTGGGCTTAGTAAATACCTGACCTGTTAACCCAGCAGGTGGTAACGTTCTCACAGCCAAGTGTGTGTCAACAGCAATAGGTGAAAGTTACTTTGGAAGTGAGGGGGCAGGCAGGGCAGGTGGGGCCGTCTGGAGCCAGCACCAGGGGCTGGGGAAACCAGAGGACCGACTTTTGACTGGCAGCCACTGCCAGCCAGTGCAATTGAAACATTCCCTGGAACCCATGTGCACAACTTCTTTGTGCCCCCTGGGAATAGGCAGTGACACAAGAAAGTGTGTCATCGGGGCCTGAGCTGCTGGGTGTAAGTAGATTTCCTTGTAGCTAAAGTTGATCCCTTTAAGCATCAAAACTTGTGTTTGAATGATGTTGGGTGGAACTTTTTCTTAAATGTATCATGCACACTCTTGTCTTCCTTAATGGAGAGGGTGTGACACTGCTTAGCACTTGGATGGCTTGGGGTGGTGATCATAATCAGCAGCCTGTCACAGCTCAGCGAGGTGAAGCCTGTGGGTGTTTGGGCGTTTGGCTCTGTGCTGAATGGCTTGGTGGCCCTACAAAATGGCTCTCAGCTCTCAGTGGCTTCCTGCTGTGGTGGCTGCTGCTGCTCTTGCCTCTAAAAGAACTCATTTCCTCTTCTTCCTGCTGTCTGTCACCTGTCTTTTGACTTGTGGGGTTGGAGTCATGGGGCCCAAATGGGGCCTTGCTCCTGACTTATGATAGGCCCTGGGTCTCTTTTCTTCTATTTTTTTCTTCTTCTTCTTTTTTTTTTTTTTAGAGACAGGCTCTCACTCTGTCACCCAGGCTAGAGTGCAGTGATCATGGCTTATTGCAGCCTCAAACTCCTGGGCTCAAGGGATCCTACTGCCTCAGCCTCCTGAGTGGCCAGGACTACAGGCTTGTGCCACTGCTCCCAGCTAATTTTAAATTTTTTTGTAGAGATTGTGTCTCACTATATTGCCCAGGCAGGTCCCAAACTCTTGGCCTCCCAGAGCACTGGGATTACAAGTGTGAGCCACCACGCCCTGCCTCCGCTTCTTTTTAGCTGAGGGAGGGTTGAACTGGTCAGTTTCTGAGGTTGCCTTCTGCTCTGTTATTGCTGTGGTTTTCAGGATGTAGTTAGGGCCCTATAGGAAAGTGCCTAGTGGCCCTTAGAGGCTGGCTCTGCTTCCTTCTGCTCCTCTAAGACCTGGACCCCGTGGATATTTGTCCTAGGTCTCACTACTACCCTGGCATCCTTTGGGAATCATCCTCATAGGTAGAGAAATTGAGGCTCGGGAAGGGGAATTGACATGCTCAGGACACACGGCTTTGAGTGGGAGCATAAGCTTCTAGCACCGTCTCTGGCTTCCACATCTCATGCTGCTGAGTCCCATGCCGGGGCTGGCTGCCAGCCCCAATCTCAGAGAGTGTAGACTTGGAGAGGGGCTTTGGATCTCCTTTCTCTCTGGCCTCCTGGCTTTGCCTCTTGCCCTGCATAGAAAACTCAAAGTCGGGCTGGGCGCAGTGGCTCACACCTGTAATCCCAGCACTTTGGGAGGCCGAGGCAGGTGGATCACAGGGTCAAGAGATTGAGACCATCCTGGCCAACATGGCAAAACCCCATCTCTACTAAAAATACAAAAATTAGGCAGGAGTGGTGGCACACGCCTATAATCCCAGCTACTTGAGAGGCTGTGGCGAGAATTGCTTGAACCCAGGAGGCGGAGGTTGCCCTGAGCCGAGATGGGGCCACTGCACTCCAGCCTGGTAACAGAGCAAGACTCCATCTCAAAAGAAAAGAAAAAGCTCAAAGTCCTCATGTCCCATGCCTCCTGCTGTGTCTGGGAGCTCCTGGAGATGGTCCCAGACGGGAAAGCTAGGGAGGGCCTAATAGCTAGACCAGGAGTCGGGGAGAGCAGGAGGGTGCCTGAGGCCATGACTATTGGGACTTCTCAGAGAAGGACACTTCAGGATGCGACTGGTGCCCCCACCTGGGAACATTCTGCAGGTCTGAGCCCTCTGAGAATGGGGAGGGCGACTGATAACCTCTGAGGTTCCGTCCACCCCAGGGGCCCCCATCTTGGGAACCTCTGGATCCTTGTATGGTTCAGTTCCTAGCGGTCACGGCAGGGACACACATGGGGGAGGACCTGTGATCATGTGGGGACGTGGTGACATTTTTAGAGCTTTCTACAGACGCTCCTGGTTGCTGCTCTCCAGTCACAGGGTGAGAGCCCATTGGAAGCCTCCCTCCCTGTGCTGCTGCTGCTGCTTTCTGCTGTAGTCCTTGGTGGTGGAACCTGGAAGCAGGCCTTCTCATTCCCTGGTGAAGGGAGACCCCACTTCCTGGGGTTTTTCTGCGGGGTGGAGCAGCCAGTACCTCATCTCTAGGGGGGCACCATGGGCTTGCAGTGCCAAGCTTCAGCTTTTTGGGCTCCAACTAAGGGCTTGAGCTCAGTGCTGCCCTGGAGGGTCCTGAATGCCTTCACTTACAGAACCTTAAGAGTTTCAGAGACCATCAGAGATGATCCACTTTCTTTTTTTTTTATTTTTTAAAAAAAAGGCGGCCGGGTGCGGTGGCTCAAGCCTGTAATCTCAGCACTTTGGGAGGCTGAGGCAGGTGGATCACGAGGTCAAGAGCTCGAGACCATCCTGGTCAACATGGTGAAACCCCGTCTCTACTAAAAATACAAAACATTAGCTGGGCATGGGGGCGCGTGCCTGTAATCCCAGCTACTCAGGAGGCTGAGGCAGGAGAATTGCCTGAACCCAGGAGGCAGAGGTTGCGGTGAGCCGAGATCGCGCCATTGCACTCCAGCCTGGGTAACAAGAGTGAAACTCCGTCTCAAAAAAAAAAAAAAAAAAAAAGGCTGGGCACAGTGGTTCACACCTGTAATCCCAGCACTTTGGGAGGCCGAGGCGGGTGGATCACTTGAAGTCAGGAGTTAGAGACCAGCCTGGCCAACATGGTGAAACCCCATCTCTACAAAAAATACAAAAATTAGCTAGGTGTGGTGGTGCATGGCTGTAGTCCCAGCTCCTTGGGAGGCTGGGGCAGGAGAATTGCTTGAGCCCGGGAGGCAGAGAGGTTGCAGTAAGCTGAGATCACACCACTGCGCTCCAGCCTGGGTGACAGAGCAAGACTCCGAAGAAAAAAATAAAGGGAAAAGTTGAAACAGGCTGAGGAAAAGGAGGGGCCTGCTCCAAATGAATAAAACTGAGTGTTGGGAAGAACCAGGACCTTGACCCAGGTATCATGACTCCCTGCCTGCCTTTCTTGGCATTATCAGGGCCCTCAGATCCACTGCCAGCCTTGCCTTTGGATGGGGCTACCTGAGGAGAGCAAGAAGCCACTGTTTGCTCAGCACGGCCACACAGGCAATCCTGTTTGAGAACAGTCAACAAACAGACTCAAACAGGCCATGCAAGGTGGCTCATGCCTGTAATCCCAGTGCTTTGGGAGGCTGAGGTGGGAGGATTTCTTGAGGCCAGGAGTTTCAGACCAGCCTGGACAACATAGCAAGATTCTGTCTCTAAATATATATAAAAAAAAAATTAGCCAAGTGTGGTGGTGCTGACCTGTAGTCCCAGCTACTCAGGAAGCTGAGTTGGAAGGATCACTTGAGCCCAGGACGTAGAGGCTGCAGTGAGCTGTGTTTGCAACACTGCACTCCAGCCTGGGTGACAGAACAAGACCCTGTCTCTCAAACAAAAACCAAAAACACCCCAAACTCGAGCACCTCTCTTTGCCCAGGCAAATATTAGAGCACCCACTCTGCTCCAGATCCTTTGCAAGGCCCTGGCTGCTTCAGCCCCAGCTGGGTGTGAGGTGTCCTGGTTTGGAAGAGAACCAGCCAGCTTCTTGTAGCTGTCACCAGCAGGATCTGTGACCTGGGGCGGGTGGTAGGGAAGGATCTTGGGCAGCCCCAAGACATCGTCTGTGGGCAGGCAGCTGCTTTGCGGTATCTGTAAGGGCAGCACAGCAGCCTGAGCTCCCCCGTGTCGTGAGCAGCTTCCCTGCTCCTTGTGTGACCTGGGCCCTGTCCTGGGGAGCTCCAGTGTAGGGTCTGTGAGGGAGTGTTTCATCATCTTCAGATTTCATCATCTCAAGTGGGTGGGGATGGATGGGAGGAGCTGGCACTGTCTCAGCCATTTACACCAGTGTTCTCAGTACAGGGCTCCCTCCCAAACCATCATGGCATGCATTTGTTTTTTTTTTTTTTAAATGATGACTTAGGCCAGGTACAATGGCTCACACCTGTAATCCCAGCACTTTGGGAGGCCAAGGCAGAAGGAACACTTCAGGGCAAGAATTTCAGACCAGCCTGGGCATCATAGCAAGACTCTCTTCTCTACAAAATAACAACAACAGCAACAAAAACCCTTAAAAATTAGCTGGACATAGTGGTGTATACCTGTGGTCGCAGCTACTAGGAAGGCTGAGGCAGGAGGATCACTTGAGCCTGGGAAGTTGAAGCTCCAATGAAGTATGATCACACCACTGCAATGAGCAACTCTGTGGGCCCAGCATGCTTCCACTGTGTCACGATGCTGGCATTACCCTGCCTTTAAAACAAAAATAAATAGAATGACTTAAGATCAAGTGAGTGGCTGGGCACGGCTCATGCCTGTAATCCCAGCACTTTGGGAGGCTGAGGTGGGCAGATCACCTCCTCAGGTCAGGAGTTTGAAACCAGTGTGACCAACATGGTGAAACCCCGTCTCTACTGAAAACACAAAAATTAGCCAGGCGTGGTGGCACATGCCTGTAATCCCAGCTACTCAGGAGGCTGAGGCAGGAGAATCACTTGAATCCAGGAGGTGGAGGTTGCAGTGAGCT